GAACTGAAACCAGGACTTTTACTAATTAAGGAATTGTGTTTTGCTGTTAATCTGGCTTGGGACTGAACCCGGATTTAGGAGAAATTCTTTGCCTCCCCCACTCTCTAGTAAACCTTGTTCTCATTACCACAACTATGAATAAAGTCTGTGAGTCAACAATGAATAGACAAACCTCTTGCTATTCGTATGGCTCCAGAGGCACCACGGGGCTTGGCTACAGATTCTTTATCTGCTTTCTGCTCTGGAGTGGTTAGGGGCCTTTTCATTCCCTCTGGCCCTTTCAGAAAGATGCTCATGACCCTGTGGCCCCATGTCCTGTTTTCTGCTCCTTAAGCAGCCCTCCAGGGGGTTTTCAAACACGGTAAATTGCACAGGAGGAGATTGCCTGTCTTTCTCCTGTGGAGCAGCTGGTGGATTTGAACTGCATAGCTTTGCATTGACAGAACAGCTCCTTACCACTTGACCCCCCCAGAGCTCCCTAATGTTAGCTAGTAGGGAGCAAGTAAGAGGTGTTAGGTATGACATGCTCATGTTTTCATATGAGATGGTTCTCTCTGGGATGACGTGGTGGAAGGTTTGTTGGGGGCAGGTTAGAGACCTGTGAGAGGCAGTTGGAGTCATTCCAGGGGAGGAATGGTAAGGGCCTGAGGCAAGCCACACACCTGGAGAGGAAGGGAAGGGATTATATACTAGAGACACAAAAAGAAATCTCAGGGCTTAACAGTGGAATGAATGCTGAGTGTCGGGGAGTAGAAAAAGAGAGGATCTAGGAGGATTCCTGTCTTCTGTTTTGGGAGGCTGAGTTAAGGTAGTTGTTGGGAGGTGGAAAATAAAGTATGAGGGAAGAAAGGCAGTTGATTCCCATTTTGGGAATGAGAAGGCCCAGGTGAACTCATCCTCTGGATAAAGTTCTAGGGAAAGTCCTAGGAAAGCAATGGAGAGCTGAGTGACTTCATTTTGTAGAACGATCTCATAGACACATGAGATTTCCCATGAAAGTGTGCAGAAAGGGGGCTGTGTATAGAAAAGGAGACTCAAAACAGGGCTGCAGGGTTATTACTGTGAGGGAACGAGCAGCGCACTTGGCACGGCATCGAGCCTATTTTCTGGAACTGATCCAGACCAGGAAATCTCAGCTTCAGGTTATTTTCATGTCCTTTGTTCACGGAAGACTTTAAGACCCTGGAGAATCCTGTTCTCATCTGTGCTACTTTTCCTTTAGTTCCATAGCTATCTTTCCTGTGCCTCACGGTGACAATGCCTCCAGATCAGGGGAGATCTCTGCTTAGTTCACTCATGATCTTGAAGGTGACCCAGGACCAGGAAACATCTTGTTCTGTTATACAGATTGCTGCCAAGAGTCAGAGACAATCCATAGCAATGAACAACAGCAACATTTTTCTATTTTGTTTTCATTGTCTTCTTTTTACCTGGTCTTCCACATAGCACACATATTGCCATATCTACTGATTTTAAACCAGAGGGGTCCATCCAATTCTGTGGGAGGAACTTTTCAAAATACATGTTTGCGTGGATTTTCTCCTCATTGATTAGGATTCAGAAGGTCTGGATCTGGGCTGCTTCTGTATTCTGAAGACACCTCTACCCTCCACCTCAACCTTGCCCAGGCAAATCTGATTGAAAGCTGCATTAAGAACTGCTGACTTAGCTGAATGTCTTCACAGTTGGGGAAAACATGTGCTTGAGGGGATAAGAACATGCTAAGGCTGCACCATTCATGTGTGAGACACAAGCCCAGAACATCTCAAACAGCCAACACCTAAATGCCTCCTAAAAGCACCTGAGTGGCACTATGCTCTCGTGGCCTCATGGTAAGAAGCTGCACTGCAATCCCAAAGCAACGTGGTTCAACTCCACAAGCTGCTCCATGGGAAGACAGACAAACTCTTGCTATACAATATACTGTTTTTGAAAACCCACCAGAGGGTCAGCCATGAGTTGGTTCTGACTGAACGGCACACTACAACCATGTTAAGCACTTTCATATTCCTTCTCTACGTCTCAGGCTCCCCATCTATGAGAAGGGAGTGTATCTAGATAATTTTCCAAGTGCTTTCTTCAGTTGAACTCTATGGGTCAAATAAAATAGTAAGATGAATTCTATTATATAAAACCAAGCAACACGAAGCCTCTCTAGGAAGAGTTGAAGTGTTACTATCCCTTCAAGGAGCAGGCTTCCTCCCACAGCTGTGAAGCACTGATGAATGCATGAACTCAGGGGAAGGTATCTGTTTGGAGAAGGGTCTGGTTTCATGCATGTTTTGGCCAATTCAGACTCAGAGGCCCTCAAGCATTAACCTGCGTGCAGGCAGTGAGGGCTTGATCCCTGTCAGAAGTTCCAAGCTAGCCTGGGAAAGCCTTTGCCCTAACAGGTAGAAGAGGAAATGTCAACGCTGGCCCCTGTGGAGGAGGCAGACTCCACTTGGGAGGAAAAGGAAGTGAAGGTGGAGCCCCAGTTGCTCTCCTGAGATGCCAGCCCTTCAATTAAGGGAAGAGCTTTGGCAGGCTATTAAATGGAACAGCACCCCACCCTTCCCAGAAAGAGTACCTTCCAGGGATGTTCCAGGAGGTGGGACTCCTGGTCCTGCGCCTGCCTGCTGGTGATCATCAAACCCCTCTTCCTCCTTCCCTGCTGTGGACTAGTTCCCGTCCCTGTGGACTCGTGTTTACACGTATCCACAGGACTGGGCTTCATCCGCAGGGATGGGTGGGTTACAAAGGAAAAGGGCCTTCGCTGAGGTCATTATCATCCCTCTTGGGGAGAATCAAGCACAGCCATAAATACCTCGGATTGGAGATAAAGATAGTTCTGATAATAAACTAGAACAAAGGAGGACCAACCTGGGGAGAGGAAGAGATCAGCATCACAGAGCCCCACTGGGGCGATAGCTCCATTCTCACGAGCATTCATAGCAAGCAGGTGCGCTAGGGTCAACATCGCAGAGCCTCACTGGGGCCATAGAAGTAGACTTGGAGGATGGCTATTAATGGAAGAGAAGGGAGTGATCAAGAGAAAGGAACAGGAGAGCAGTGTGACACAGAGCTTCTATGAGGGCCTGGATGTGCTCTGTGTTGAATAGCAAGTGGTGTTCAGCCCTCAGAGGGCATAGAGGAAGGAGAGGTCCAACACACAGATCAAAAGCTTACTGGGGGGGGGGAAAAAAGTACAAGGTGATCCATGCATAGATGATAGGTCTCGTCTTTCCCTTGATGGTGATTCCCCAATCTTTGTCTTGATTGTGTTTTGCAATGTCATTATTGTCGTTGCTAGGTACCATTGAATTAGGTGTCAGACTATCTTTTTTAAGTTCTTCCTCTCTTTGAATGACCCTCTATTTTTCCAAGTATAATGTCCTTTTCCAAAGACTTGTTGTTTTTGTTGCTAAATATCATTGAGTCATAGCAGGTTTTCAGAGAAATTATTCACAAGAGATGGGTCATCTTTCTCCCGTGAGCAGCTGGTAGTGAATTTGAACCATGTGCCTTTGAGTTAGCAAGACAACTCCTTAAAATTAAAGTATATGAGACCAAGTCTCGCCGTCTTTCACTCTGAGGAGCATCCTTTCTTCATTTCCTCCAAGATCCATTTATTTGCTCTTTTGGCAATCCACAAGATATTCAGTATGCTTGACCAACACCACAATTCAAAGGCATCGATCCTTCAATCTTCCTTATTCATTGTCCAACATGCATAAGCGTGTGAAGCAATTAAAAATACCTTGGCTTGAGCCAGGCACTCCTTAATCTTTAAATGGACATTCCTGCTCTTTGACATTTTAAAGAGGTTCTTGAAAGCAGATTGGCTCAATGCAATATATCTTTTCCTTGAGCTGGTGCCATTGAGTTGACTTGAACTCATGGTCATTTGGTGGACAAAGGCACTCTGCCTCATAAGGATTCTCTTAACAGTAAACTTCAAAGGAGTAGACTACAGATTTTTTTTCCTAAGAGATGCCAGGTGGGCTCAAAGCATCACCTTAATGCTTAACAACAGCTAAGCGCTTAACAGTTGAGGCACTAAGCACTGGGTGTTGTTTTACTGGATCATTTATAACAGCGATGTGAGAGCAGAAATGATAGTAGGGAAACCAACACTTGTATAACCCTCACTGAGGTCTGAAAGTTTCACAGCAGAGGCCTTACTCCACATGCCAGGCCACCCTGTGAAGTGGGTGCTGTCTATGTGTTGTTGTTGGTGTTGTAAAGTGCTGTCGAGTTGTAGACGACTCATAGCAACCTTATGAACGAAAGGCCTGAGCACTGTTCATAGAGTTTCCGGAGGCATGACATTTCGGAAGCGGATGCCACTCCTGCTTCCAGGCTTGTTTTAGTCGGGAAGCTCCAGCAAACACTGTCCACCATGGCTAACCATTATCACATTTGGCACATCAGTGTCACAGTGTTCAGTTTCACAGCAACCACAAGTTACCTCTCTGTACAGCAAGTGAACAGACCAGGGCTATACCACCTAGTAGAATGTTTGACAGGAAAACTATTCGAACCCGGCCTGAGGCCGCAGATTAATATCACCCACCTTCAGCTTGGTAGCATAACTTTCTGTCCACTAGGCCAACATAGCTCTCTCTATGTCGTCGTTGTTATTGTTAAGTGCCATCGAGTTGTAGACGACTCATAGCAACCCTATGAATGAAAGGCCTGAGCATTGTTCGTAGAGTTTCTGGAGTCAAGCCATTTCAGAAGTGGAGGCCGCTCCTGCTTCCAGGCTTGTTTTAGTCGGGAAGCTCCAGCAAACACTGTCCACCATGGGTGACCATTATCGCATTCGACACATCAGTCTACGTAGCAAGTGAGAACGCCGAGGTGCGGGAGGCTGAATCTCATAGGAGGAGAATGTGCTGGTAAAGGATTCACACAAGGCTTCTAGGCCTCCTTCTTCAGGGGGCTCAGATTGGAGGGCAGCCAGCCGGCCAGGACTCTCTGCCCAGGTGCCTAACAGGCTCCTTCTTCTGTGCCCCTAGATGTTCGTGCTGTGCCATGGCCTCCTGCAGCTGTGCCAACTCCTGTACAGTGCCTACTTCAAAAGCAGTCTGACCACCATCGAGAAGCGCTTCGGCCTCTCCAGTTCTTCCTCAGGGCTCATTTCCAGCTTGAATGAGGTAAGCACGAGGGACTGACTTGCCAGAGATCCTCGTAACAGGTTACGGGGGTGAAGGGACTTGCATGTGCAAATGGAGTGCAGGCAGATATATGGGGACCCAAGGAATGGGGGATTACCTGATCGAAGAGGCATGGTCCCTCCTTGCAACTGGTCCTTGGAGAAGGATGTCATGCTTGGGAGGGTGGAGGGACAGCGCAGGAGGGGCGACTCTCGATGAGATGGATTGATTCAGTGACTGGGGTCATCAGGATGGGAGTGTCAGAGACAGTGCGATTGACACAGGACAGAGCAGGGTTTAGGGCTGTTGTACATAGGGTCACTATGAGTCACAAGCGACTCGACTGCACATAACAACCACCACAAGAGGCATGGTGGGTACAATGGCATTTCCTGAGGCCTTATTATGCACTAGGGCCCCCTGTGCCTGGCCCCATGGCCTCACGATAGTCCTTCAAGCAGGTTATCTGCTCGTCCCCACTTGATGGTTTAGGATACCAAGGGTTAGCAAATGCACGTGCCTCACCCAAGATAAGAAAGTCTGACTGTTGTCAAATGTTTTACCATGGGCTGAGTTCTGTGATTCCTCACCATTTTTGAAGCTTCCACCTCACCCCCAGGCAAAGAGAGTTGAGTCCTAGGCACAAAGATTGGGCAGAGACCCAAGTTCAAGCAGGGTCACATGAACCCGTAGTGCCCAGCACCCTTCACTCCCAGACAAGGCCAGATCCCTGGGTCTTCTAGCAGCAGTGGGTGAGGCCAATTCACACTGGACTCCAGTGAGTTACCGGAAGATAAGATAGACCAAGAGGCCCGGGAGCCGGCAGAGGCTTTTAGGAGACTGGAACCCAGGGAGAAGAGGCAGAAATGCAGCCCACAACCATAGCTGCAATATCAGTGACTCCAGCCACGGAGATAGGGCAGCCGGCCTCTCTTCTTTCTTCTTTCTCCTGAGGTCCTCTCTTCCCAGATGAAGCACAGCGGCCTCATCCTCCAAGGAGCTGAGCTGCACCATTAGAACAGGATTAGACAGTCCCTAGACTGAGTGAAATAAGGCCGGGGCACTAAGTTAGAGACTGGAAGCTCTTTGAGAGTGTCCATGGGTGGCGGTGGCGGAGCTGTGTAAGAAAGTGTGAGTTCTCCTAGCACTGCCTCTGTCACCTTCTGGTCTTCTCTTCTCAAAGCCGCGTTCTTTTCCTCCATTGCAGAGATCTGGCACCATTCGTACAACTTGTTGTTGTTGTGTGCCATCAGGTTAGAAGCAACCCATGGCTGACCCTCCCACGGGTTTTCAGAGGTGGTAAATTGCATGGGAGGAGACTGCCCATTTTTCTCCCACAGAGCAGCCGGTGAATTCAAGCCACATGTCCCTGGGTTGGCAGCACAATTCCTTACCATTAAGCCTCCAGCGCTCCCTCTTGTACAGTAATACTCCTCCCCAAACGTGGGCCCGTTAGTTACCTATTGCTGTTGTAACACAACTGTGATTTGATCTAAAGAACCGAAATTTGTTTTCTGACAGTTCTGGGGGCTCAAAGTTCAATTCAGAATCTCGGCTGTATGGAGTTGCTTTCATTGTTTCATGCTAGTTTTTCTCACCTTGTAACCAATCCTCACAAAGCATTGGGCTTTCTCTCTCTCTCTATCTCTCTAACTCTCTCTCTCTCTCTCTCTCTGTGTGTGTGAGAGAGAGAGAGACAGAGAGAGAGGAGTGAGAGCAAGAGAGGAGAGAGAGAGAGGGCGAGAGAACGAGAGCGAGGAGAGAGATGAGAGAGTGAGGAGAGAGAGATTGAGAGAAGAGAGAGAGAGAAAAGGAGAGAGGGAGAGATAGAGAGGAGAGAGAGAGACTTGTCTATTCTGATCTTTTCGTAGTTCAGGATTAATCAAGTTTAGGATCAACCCTACTCAGACATAACAAATTAACCCAGCAAAGAAAACCGTTTCCAAGCAGAGTCGCAGCCGTAGATAAAAGGGCAAAGAATCCAATGCCTAGTTTTTTGAAAGGAGCAGAGTTCAATCCATAAGGTTCTTCTTGTTGGTGTGTACTACAACTCATAGTGACCTTATGAAAATTTCTTAGAACCCTGCCCTGTCCTGTACTATCCTCATGACCGCTCGTATGCTCAAGCCCATTGTTGCAATCACTTGTCAAGCTGTCAATCCAACCTGTGGAAAGTCTTCCTCTCTTTCACTTGCTCATTTTCCCCAGAATGATGTCTTTTTCCAAAGATAGGTCCCTGCTGATGACATGCCCATAGCATGTGAGACAAAGTTTCTCCATCCTTGCCTCTAAGGAGCACTCTGGTTGTATTTCCTCCAAGACAGACTTGTGTGTTCTTTCAGCAGTCCTTAAACTGTTCTGTAGTCTTTTGCCAGCACCACCATGTAAAGGCATCAATTTTTCTGTCATCCTTTGTCATTGTCCAACTTTCAGATACTTAGGAGACAACTGAAAATACCATGACTGGGATCAGAAACCTTAGTCCTGAAACTGACATCCTTTTTCCTTAGTATTTTGGAGAAGCCCTTGACAGCAGATATTCCTAAACTAACAAGTCTTTGAAATTTTTGGCTGCTAAGTTCATGAGTGTTGATTGAGAATCCAAGTGAAATGAAATCACTGAGAGTTACAGTATTTTCTCCATCTATCATGAGGTTGGCTGTTGGTGAGGATTTTTATTTTCTTAATGGGAAAATGTAATCCATATGGAGGGTTGTGTTCTGTCATCTTCTGTAGTAAGTGCTTCAAGTCTTCATCACGTTCTGCAAACAAGATTGTGTCTTCTGCGTAATACGGGTGTTGAGTCTTCCTCTGATCCTGATGCCACACACTTTTCCATAGAGTTCAGCTTCTTGAATGATTTGCTCAGCATAAAGATTGAATAGATAGGGAGAAAGGATACAACCCTGGCATACCCTTTTCCTAATTTGAAATCATTCTCTTATTCTGTTTAGACAATTGCTTCATTGTCTACATAGGTTTCCCATGAACACAAGAAAGTGTTTTGGAATTCTCGTTCTTCTCAACGTTGATTGTAATTTGTTATGAACCAAGTAGCCAATTGTCTTTGCATAATCAATAAATCATAAGGATCTCAGCTTTCAGCCAAGATCCTTCTGCCATCAACAATGATACCTGTCATTCTACGGCCTCTTCTAAATCCAATTTGAATTTCTGACAGGTCTCTGTTGATGTTCCAGTCATTGGTTTTATAATAACCAGCAAGATTTTACTTGCATGTAGATTAATAATATTGTTTGATAATTTCTACACCCCTACTGGATTTTTCCTTTAAATTTTTATTAAAAATCCTTTGTTAAGGCAAAATTTACACACAGAAAATTCAGTGATTGCAAGTTTAGAAATTAGTTGTACAATTAAAATAATCCATTTAAGAACATATCTAAAAAAGATAAAAATATGTAATATAAACATGGTTATAGAAGTATATCACAAAATTAGTAAAAGCTGGCATTCCAGAATTGAGAAATATATTCTAGGCTTATAACAGTGGGCGTTAGAAGAGTTAGTCATATAAGAGTTCCAATAAACTTTGTGTGGGCTAGGAGAGTTATTTCTGGTTACTCACGCCTTTTTGAAGCTTTCCTCAAACTGTGTGGATTTTTTTTTTAAATTGAAACAAATATGAATATTCTAGTCAGTTGGCCAGGTAGTTGTCTTCCAAATGTCCTGGCATAGTCTAATGATCATCTCCAGGGCTACATCTGTCTGTTGAAATACCTCACTTGGTATTCCATGAATTCCTGGAGCTTTGGGTTTTTGTCAATATATTCAGGGAAGCTTGACCTTCTTTCTTCATAACTGTAGTTCTTAATCATGCTCCACTTCCTGAAATGGTTCAATGTCAACCAGCTCTTTTTGGGTACAATGACACTGTGTATTCCATCTTTTTTTGATGTTTCCTGCTTCGTTCAAGGTTTTACTCAATCTGTTAGTATTGCAACTCACAGCTTGAGTTTGTTCTTCAGTTCTTTCAGCCCAAGATCTGCTTAGTGAATTCATTATGTTTGGTTTTATAACTCCAGCTCTTGGTATATTTCATTATAATAATTTGCTTTGTCTTCTTGAGTTTTATTTTGAAATCTTCTGTTTGTCTGTCTTACTTCCACATTTCTTTATTTGGTTATGGGCTCTTCACATTCTAGTGCGAGTTTCAGAGTCTCTTCTGACATTCATTTTGGTCTTTTATTTCTCCTCTGTCTTTGCAATGACCTTTCACTTTCTTCATGGACAACATCCTTGATGTCATCCCACAACTTGTCCGGTTGTCATTTGTTAATACACGTTGATAATGACACATGTCGTCCTCATAAATGTATCAAGGGAAGACAAAACTCTGGCCTATCCTATGGCCCTGGCAGGCATCACTAATCTACTATAATTTTTTCTCATGCCAAGTCCAGACACAGATCGACTTCTTCTAAAGACAGTATTCTAGGCACCTCTACCGATCATAATTAGAGCTGATATGGAAAGTAAACCCTCCCTTCCAGCTTAATCCCATGTAGTGACCTATTCTATAAGATCCTCATGGGTAAATTTTCATCTGTAATGTCCCTATGTTGTTTGTTGTTGTTATGTGCTGTTGAGTCACCTGCAATTTATAGCGACCCTATGTATAACAGCCCTAAACCCTGCTCTATCCCTTGCCAACCTTATTGTCTCCAACACACCTATCCCCATTACCCCAACCACTGAATTAATCCATCTCATCGAGGTCTTCCTCTCCTGTGCTGTCCTTCCACCGTCCCAAGCATGATGCCCCTATCCAAGGACTGGTCCCTCCTTACAACATGTC